GTGGTAGCCCCGTTATTCGTGACTATGAACCCTAAAAAGCTAACGCTTTTCTTGAAAAATCGTGATTTTTCTGTTGATACCCTCATATTTGCATCGTGTAGGCTCTTGAGACCCAATCCACGTGCCGGATGTGGGAGTTTTCGTCCTCCGAGAAGACGATAACATCATCAACATAGACATAGCAAAATTTGCCAATCTGCTCTCGCAGTATGTCGTCAATTGTTCTTTGGAAAATGCTGGCTGCATTTTTTAATCCAAATGGCATTCTGCGAAACTCGTACTTTCCTCCGTTAACGGAAAAGGAAGTTTTTTCACGGTCGCATTCTGCCAGCGTGATCTGATGATAACCGGACTTCAAGTCCAGGGTTGTGAAATACTTGGCCTTGCCTAAGTTTCCTAATATCATCGAGATGTTCGGCATGGGGTATCGATCGGGTATTGTTTTCTCGTTTAGTTTGCGAAAATCCAATACCAAACGCATTTTCCGCCTCCCAGTTTCGTCGGTGCCCTTTTTATCTACTACCCATATTGGGTTATTGTAGGGGGATTTCGACTTTTGGATGATGCCATTTTTTAGTAGATCTTGGATTTCGCCATTGAAATCAGCTGCCCCCATTGGATATGGGTAAAGTTTGGCATAAATGGGCGTCTCATCAATGGTTCTGATGGTGGCTACCACCGACGTATTGTAAGACAGGGCCTCATTGGGGTCTGCGAAGGTTTTTTTCCTGTCGCTGAGCATTTTCAAAAATGTTTTTCTGACCAAAGGTGGTGCGTCTGAGCAGTCCACCTCAGTAAAATTTACATCGGGACATGTATGAAAATCGATTTTCTCTACTTCCGTGCCCCATTTGAGCTGACCGGAGGCCAGACAAAGTGACGCCCCTGCCTGTTTTAAAAGGTCAAGGCCGATGATTCCATCAAAGGAGGACAAATCTGGTAAAATGAAGAATGTGGCCTTCAAGTTGAAAATTGACACGAAGCATTTCTTCGTGATAGTGGTGACTCCATGGATCAAATGAACCTTTAATGGAGATTCTACCGGGCGGACGCCTTTCAATCCTTCGTAAGGTCGGATGAAATTTTTGGCCGCGCCAGTATCGACTGGAAGTCTCATGTCAATCCCCGCTACTCTTCGTCTGATGACGGGTAGCAGGGATTTTCCCCTAAAAAATTAATGGCATCCGAGTCGTACTCGCTGATAGCGTCGTCATCAATTTCTTGTGCCGCGCTAGAGGCCGCTGTGGTGTACGTGTCACCAGTTTTGTCAGCGCTCTGGGCAATGTGATTTACCCTTTGCCTTTTTTGTGGGTGCGTTCTATCGGACGCCGCCGGCTTCCTATTCTGGTATGCCGGGGCCTGTGATGGTTTCAGCATCTTGGACAGTGATGGGTCAACATCCATGGGTTCGGGAGTATCTCTATGAAGCCTGTCACTGTGCGGAGCAGAGTGTACTTGAACTTTGTGTTGTTTGGAAAAGTGGGGATTTTTACCGCCACTATATTGGGAATTAGCCTGAGGGGTGGCCTGATGACGCTCTTGTGCCTTAGGAAATTAAAACAATTTCTCCTTATCCTCCTGGCTTTTTGCAAATGATGATGCAAAGGTGTACCTATCATGGTTCGACTCCAAGGCAAGTGCTGATGGCATGTCCTTGGGCTATGCCGCGAAGAGGACATCAGTGAGACTGCATTTTAATCCAGAGATAAATACGCGAAGGGCATCATCCCGGAATTTTTTGCATAAAACTTGTGCAGCCGTGGCTTCGTATGACATGGTCGCCTTGTTGGTGAGGAGGGTGAGCTTCCTTTCAACCTCGTCATAATACTGTAGAAGCGAGAGACTCCCCTGTCTGAGAGTACCCATCTCCTGCTCTATGACATGCATTGTCCGCTTGTCGCTATAAGTAAAATCGAGTCGATTTATAATCGCGTCGAAATTAAGCACTGTGCCAAATGAGGATAGCACTGAATCGGCCGGGCCCCTTATTTTGCTCCTAATTATAATGACCGCCTGATAATGGCGTGAACTTCCTACGAAATCCTTAAAAATATAGTATGCGCCTACTGCCGCCTGCCGCCAGGAGACGTATGTTTCCTGGGCACCCGAAAATTCGGGCAGGCATTTGACGGCGTCTAGTGGCTCATTACAAATGACGGTGTTATCAATGTCTATAGGTGTATAAACTTTAATTTGAGGGGCTACTGTTGGAGCGGGTGCGACTTGTATCGCCGCCACTTGGTTGGCCAGTTGTTGAATAGTCTGGCGCAACTCATGCTCCCTGCGCTGGCTGTCAATGGCCTCTTCCTGTAGGGCATGGTTGACGGCAGCCTCTACTACCGCCTTTATTTGTTCTGGGTTAAATGCCATGTTTCTGGCTGAGGGAGTGCCGACGTTTACACTCTTCGGTGTAGAAGTTCTTGCCGGCCCTTCGGTCTCGGATTTAGAGTCGCTGGAGACCTGCCTGTTGTTCCTATTGCTGGAATGGGTTGCTCATGTGGAGCTGTGCAAGCTAAATCGGCCTTGCAATTTAATGCATGCTCAAGCGGTCTTGCTCATGGATATGGCGAGGGGGACGCGGGGGCTGATATGCCGCTTCGTAACGATGGACGAAAGCTCGTTGAAAAACTGAGCTTTTGCCTTGTCAAGCAATTGTTAACAAGGGGAAGGGGATCGCGGGGACCGGGTCTCCGCTATGGCAAACAAAAATATAAACAACAAAAATTGACATAGTAAAGATCCGTGGTGGCTAAGCTGCCGTTCTGAAAGACAAAGAAGCGAAGCTAAATAAAATCGGAATACAAACGTCGCGGTGTCGAGTTCGAGTGTCGTAGTGGAGTGGGTAAGCGATGAAAAAAACAAACCCAAGATTGTTGCTAACACAAAGAATTTAGGTGTAAGCTAAAAAAAAAACGACTACATATAAGGGGTAAATTAAATGCACAAATTTAAATGAGACAGTATCCGTCGCCAATAAAAATATATGCACAATTAATACATTTATTTCCCGGCGGCGCCTTTGCGTCTAGGCTGGGTATTAAATATGTAGTCTGGTAGTTATATTGGCGATAATATTCGGCACCAAGATATTTATTGAAAGAATTTAAAAAATGCAAACAATGATAAACATAAATAATATCACTTGTGATTATACCAATAAAATTGTCAAACAATTAGTGAGTATGTTTATTTATAAAAATGTTAACACGAAACTCTAATATAGAGCTGCAGAAAATATAGCGTATTTAAATATTTTACCAATGCAGATGCCGGAAAATTTTTGGAACAGAAGTGCTCACTTACATGATTTCCCCGACTTAGATGGGTAATTTAACGTGGGCGCCAATTAGTAAATGTTCCGCACAGCAGTCAATGTGTCGGCAGCGGGAGGGGGTGTGCCGGGCAAGTCAGCCTAGCGATCTTCCTTTTTTGTTGGGAGTTATGTAGGGAGTTAATCAGTCCCGCGCAGCAGTCAATGTGTCGGCAGCGGGAGAGGTTGTGCCGGGCAAGTCTGCCTAGCGGTCTTCCTTCTTTGTTAGGATTTATGTAGGGAGGAACTATCTCCGTTATCGTTGGCCCTTAAGGCACAACAACCAATAATAAAAAATGTGTAACGGCTGAGCCGGAATTCAAATCAAAGAGCGATGCTAAAGAATCTATGTTTAGACTAGAACAAACATTTAAGAGAGCTAGATTAATGTTAGAATCTCATAAAAAGAAACAAAAACAAGAGAGAACGCTATAGTCGGGTGCCCCGACTATCAGATACCCGTTACTCAGGTAAAGGGAGTGCGAGGGAGATGGAGATAGAAACTTTGATCACATTTCGATAGGTATTGATAAACACAATAAAACTGCATTTTTACTTTTCCGAAATATTTAAATTTTTAAAATCGTATATAAGCGATTGTGGGCGTTAAAGGGGGCGTGGCACCTTTTTGAAACAAACTTGCGCTGCGTAGGAACTCCTAAAATCTACATGCAAAATGCCAATCTTCTAGCTTTTATAGTTTCCGAGATCTCAGCGTTCATACGGACAGACAGACAGACAGACAGACAGACAGACGGACAGACAGACGGACAGACGGACAGACGGACATGGCTAGATCGACTCGGCTAGTGATCCTGAACAAGAATATATATACTTTATAGGGTCGGAAACGCTTCCTTCTAGCTGTTACATACTTTTGCACGAATACAATATACCCTTTTACTCTACGAGTAACGGGTATAATTAGATATGACAAAAATACCTTAGATTTTGATTTAAAAATAGAAGATCAGGTTTTATTGAAAAATGAAACAGGGCATAGACTTTAAACATACTGGACCTTATAAGGTTGAAAGTATAGAAGAAAACGATAACATAGTAATTTCTAATAACAAAAATAAAAACAAACAGTGCATAAGGATAGGTTACAAATTTTTATTTCACAATCACTTTAGTTCTCTTATATATAGTAACATACTGTAACGAACTAGAATTTAGCTCAGTAGAATTTGTGCGTTCGTCCCACCAAATTTATATTAAATGTGACCGCCCGGTTAACAGTAACAAAACTTCAGAATTCAGTTAAGGAGGCGTTTATTTACGGCTCTGGTTGACAATATTTGAATATATCTTGTGTGGGTAATGCTCCTGCGACGCCGCTCGGTGATTCCTTTCTGCTGATGGTCCTAGTCGCTCCGAGTACTTTCGCTGCCGCTCATAGACGAGGGGTTGGAGTTGGACCGTTGGGCTTAGGGAAGCGTCACCGTTCTCAGACTAGGGTGAACAGGCACCACGCTCGCAAGACCTTCGTCCTGCCAACCGCAGCCTCCTGTCCCTTGCTCTGTCCCGGCCGGTCCCGCTAGACGCTCACTCAGTTTCCTTTGACTCTCCGGTACTACGCCCAGATCACGTCAGCAGTCCAGCGCCCAGAGAAAGACGAACGTTCCACCCTGGCCTTCCCTCCCGACTGTTGCGATCGTACCTGAGGCTTGTTGCGGTCTCTGGCGGCTTATCCACGTCGTCGTCCTGCGCGACTGGTTGTGGCGTTGTTCCACGTTGCTCCCTTGGGGCCCACTGCCCTATAACCGGCACAACTGATCGGTATTACGGCCGACGCAGCTGGACTAATCGGTATTACAGCCAATGTAGCCGGACTGGTTGGTATTACAGCCGGCACAGTTAGTCTGATCGGTATTACAGCCAATGCAGCTAAACTGACCGGTATTACAGCCAACTTAGACGCACACAGTTAGAAACGGCTGTTATACGATAGTGCCAATCGACCGCCTTATATCGCTGGCGCCCCCTTCCCTAAGCACATGATGACGCGGAGAATTTTTCTTGCCGGTAAGTTTTTTCTTTAATTTTCCATTTCCCCTTTCTCTTATCCTGCTTTCTCTTTAAACCCCCCCCTTTCCCTCGACTTGCCCTTGGACCGTGGCCCTCGCCTACGGGCGGAGATGGAAAAAGAGAGGATAAAGGGTAAAATGGTTTGACTGCCGCCACGATCGTTCCCCCCGCGTTTCAGCCGCTACCCCTCCCCATCATTTCAAAGTACACGTGAGTTTGTACCTTTACATTTTTTTTTTGTTGCTCAACTGATTTGCCTTTCCTTTTTCTTTCGTTTTCAGCTGAACGGCTTTCCCAAGGAGATAAAGAGAAAGACGACCTGGGACATATATGGACTGCCGCCACGACCCTCCCCTCGTCCCAGCAGCTACCCCTCTCCACCATTCTTTGATGTACAGGTGAGTTTGTGCCTTTGCTTTTGTTTTGGCATTCAACTGATTGGTTTTTAATTTTTTTTCAGATGAATTGTTTTTTCCCTTTTTTTAAATAAACTCCCCAGCTTTTTTTTTTTGTGCTAGTTTTGTCCGCGTTTTAAGTCCCAGTGATTGGATTTTTATTATTTTTTTTTTTATTTACGGCTAGCAATCGAAACGGCGAACACTAACTTGGCCAGAGGCCGCCAAACGGATGCGGTATTTCCTGTAGCCTACCTCTGCCATCACGCAACGTCGGCCTCCTCGTCGCATGGCATGCTTTATCACCGGCTGCTCCAATAAGCCAGCTGGCCACTCCTCCTCGGCGATGTCCTGCCAGGATCCGCCCTCCGTCCGGGACGCCATTCGCACCAGTGTGGGCCTGGCCACTGGGCCGCGTGCCTCTGGGGCGGAGATCTGCCGCTGGAGTTTGGGCCCTCGGGTTGTCCGTAGGTGTCGGCCACACCCATGGCCCTTTCTCCAGGACATCCTCCGTCTCCGGTGTCGGCGGCAACCACCCGGCGTCTTCGCGGCGCACCCTGGGGTCCCGTCTGATTCGATTTGGAGGGTCCTGCGCTGTGGGTCTCCGCTCCTACCGTGGCCTTCGCCTCGTCGCTGACAGGCCAGGTCCACGTGACGGTGTGTTGCCGCCACTGGACGCCGCCGGCCACAAATGCATTTAATGCATGCGCGACGTGGGCCTGCGGGATCTCTGTGCGGCAGTACTGCCACTGCTCCCCCCCTCCTCCTGGTCTGGGACCCTCCTCCTTGATGTGTTCCTCCGGTTCCTCCTCTCGGACCTCCTGGCCGTGCCGAGGCGTGGGTGGTCGGGCCGGGGTCCACTTCGGTGGGTGGGGGTTCTCTGCCTCTGGATGACATGGAGGGGGGCTGGAGAGCGGTATCCCCTTGTGCTGTCCTCGGCCTCTTCTCCTCGAGACCTCTTGGTCATTACTGGCGTGGGCGGTCATGGGCCGGGCCCATTTTCGGTGGGCGTGGGGCCTTCGCCTCCTGTTGACGTGGTGGGGGGCTATGGAGCGGGATCGCCGGTCGTCATCCTCCGGCCATTCTTGCGGGCGGGGGGTCGGAGGTGGCTCGTGCCAATCCTTTGGATGGGGGTTTGGGTATTGGTGGGGAACCCATCCATCCGACTGGACCCACTGGTTCGGGGCCTCGGGTCCGTGACTGGCACCTTCGTTCTCGCCGGATCGGGGAGTCGGGGGAATTCCCTGCATCCCTCCTGGGATTAGGGGCACTGCCTCCACCAGGACCTCAGTCGGCCACAACTGGCGTTCCTCCTCCTCCCACTTTTGCAGCCGTTCTGTCCCGTGTTCCGGGACCGCTTCTCTTCTCCTCCGCCTTTTTCTTGGCCTCCTCGGCTTCCGCTTCCTTCCGGGCCTTTTCCTCTCTTCGCTTGAGGCGATATGCCTCCTGTACAATGACTCGTCCTCATGTCCTCGTACGGGGCCCTCATCGTCCGCATCCGCTCGACCTCGTCCCTTAGCATCTTGGCTCTTGCCTCGGCCATCTTCAACGAGGTGCTTCCGCTTCCCCTTGGCCTCTTCGCTGCACCCTTAAAGGTTGGGGTGTGTCCCGGCGGGATTGCGTCGACCTTCGGATCCCTGGCCCTTTTTAGGCGCCTCTCCTTGACCGGGGCCTCGGCCCACTCCATGACACTCTCATCCGAGGTAACTATTGGTCCTCGGCACCACGCCGCGGGGCTTGGGTGGGCTGGAAGATAGGCAGCGGCCTACCCTCCGACCGTCCTTGCTCCGCGACGGGTCCTTCAGGTCCTGACTTCTTGATTTGGTTTGCCCGTTCACTGGCAATTTCCTTTACCATGAAGCCTCGGTTTTGTGGATTCTTTTTGTGCCGTACCGTTATGTCCCTATCGGCTCTCTTTGCGGCTTATGTCTTCTCTTTGGGGCCTCGTTTTCTCTTAACCCTGCGTGTCTGATGCCGCCACTTTCCTCCGATGCCTAGGTCTTCTCTCGTTTTGGCTTGGTCTCTCCAGTTAATTTTTGGCGGCCCTCGCTGACGCGTGTTCTTCCTAGCTTTACGGTACCCCGTATCGTCTCTCCCCTTTCCTCGGTGACATGTATTCTGTCGTTGCTCTCCACCTTTTTATCTTGTGATCGTTTCGCAGGTCCGTTATATGCTTTCGTTGATGGAGTCTCTTTCTATTGGTTGTATGCTCCGTTGACTCCGGTCTTTGGCCTGACGTAGCAACGATTGACTCTGCCCCATCTAGTCTGGGATCTGTCTAGTCTTCATTTGCAAAGTCTTCTTGTCTGTCCAACTCCCTGTTCCGTTGACTCCGGCTTTGTCCTGACGATTAAACGGATTCTCGCATTCCCGATTTTTTGTTCTTCGTTAACTTAGGTGTGTGCTGGCCTGATCAGAGTCCTTGCTCGTTTGCGGCGTGCTCCGTTGACTCCGGTTTTGGCCTGACGATTAAACGGTTGCTACTGTCCCATGCGGTCTTGGACACTGGTTGTTCTGCATTCGCTTGACGATTAAACGATATCTTGTCTGTCTGCCCACATCCCCTTTCCGTTGACTCCGGCTTTGTCCTGACGATTAAACGGATTCTCGCATTCCCGATCCTTTGTTCTTCGTTAACTTAGGTGTGTGCTGGCCTGATCAGAGTCCTTGCTCGTTTGCGGCGTGCTCCGTTGACTCCGGTTTTGGCCTAACGATTAAACGGTTGCTACTGTCCCATGCGGTCTTAAACACTGGTTGTTCTGCATTCGCTTGACGATTAAACGATATCTTGTCTGTCTGCCCACATCCCCTTTCCGTTGACTCCGGCTTTGTCCTGACGATTAAACGGATTCTCGCAATCCCGATCCTTTATTCGTCGTTGACTTAGGTGTGTGCTGGCATGTCTGAGTCCTTGCTCGTTTGTGGCGTGCTCCGTTGACTCCGGTTTTGGACTGACGATTAAACGGTTGCTACTGTCCCATGCGGTTTTGGACACTGGTGGTTCTGCATTCGCTTGACGATTAAACGATATGTCTTCTGTTTGTCCAATTTCCCGTTCCTTTTCTTCTACTGCTTGAGACCTGCCCGTATCTCCGTCCTCGTCCGCTTCGTGTGCCTTTTCCTGCTGCTTTAGGTCGCTGATGTGGACTGTGCGTTCCTTCTTGCTTCTTTGGTGGCGAATTTTGCAGATTACGGGGGATACAAAATCGACTACCTGATATGGACCATCATATCTCGGCGCTAGTTTGGCCGCGAAGACTACTGCCGCTTCAGACAAATGGTGCTCCTTGGCCCAAACGACATCGCCGACTCGTGGATTCCACTGTCTCCTTCTGAGGTTGTAGTGCCTGGCTTGATCCTGCGCTGCCTTTTCTAAATTTCGTAGGACAACTTCGAAGATTTCTTTTAGTATTTCGGCATTCCTCTCTGGTGACTCTGTCTGCCTTCCTGTGCCCAGTGTTTATCTGTCGTACAACGCGTTTGGCAGCCGCGGTTCTCTGCCCTGCGTCAGAAAGGAAGGCGAGTATCCAGTGGACTCGGATACGCTTGAGTTAACTGCTAGCAATATTTATGGCCACTTTTCGTCCCAGTTCCTTTGGTTTTCTCCGGCAAACTGTGCAATCATACTTTTTACGGTTCGGTTCGCGCGCTCGGTGGGATTTTCTTGAGGAGTGTATGGTGCCTTGAATTGTTGTTTTATTCCCATGTCGTGAAGAAACTTCTTAAATGCCCGACTGGCAAACTGCACCCCGTTTTCCGTAATCACCACTTTTGGAACTCCGAATCGAGCGATTATTCGTTCTTTAAACGCCTTTTGCAGGGTTTCTGCTGTAGCGGTTCGTAATGGCACCAATTCTGTCCATTTTGAGAAACGGTCGATTAGCACCAACAACATTTGGTTACCGTGCTTCGATCTTGGCAGGGGCCTCACAAAATCCGCGCAGACCGTTGCCCATGGTTCCTCAGGGACTTGTGTCAGCATCTTACCCGGCGCCTGTCGCTGGTTTGGCTTAAATTTTAGGCACTCTCCGCATTTCCGAACGTATGCTCTCGCGTCCCTTTGCATTCCTGGCCAGTAGTATCTGACAGCTAGACGGGCAATCGTCTTTCGTCTTCCTATTCCCTTAGCTCAGTGGGGACGCACAGCTTCCAGGCCACCACATCTTCGTTGCCAGATCTGTGTGGGATCTGCCAGTACAGCGTTTCGCCATCGAACACGTAGTCCGGGAATTTCTGCGGGTGTGTTTTTTACTTCTCGCGCATGTCCCTGATCCAGTTACATTCCGAATTTGGCACCAACTCTTTCGTTCTCCGGAGGGTTTCCGGCATCGGCTGTCTGGACAACGCGTCGGCTACCACGTTTAATTGGCCCTTTCTGTACGCAACCTCAAAGTCGTATTGTTGCAACTCAAGGGCCCACCTGGCGATTCTTCCGGACGGGCTGTTCAGCCATTTCAGTGCCATGTGATCCGTTACCACCTTGAAGTGGTAGCCTTCCAGGTAGGGCCTTAGTTTTCTAATTGCCCAGACAATGGCCAAGCACTCTTTCTCCGTTCTCGAATAGTTTTTCTCGGCTCCGTTTAACGTTCGGCTGGAGTATGAGATAACTTTCTCGCCGTCTTCCGTGTTCTGTGTCAGAATCGCACCTATGCATTATTCGCTGGCGTCTGTTTACAGGATGAATGTTCTTCCAAAGTCTGGACACGCTAACACTGGGTCAGACACCAGCCTCGCCTCCACCTCCTCGAATGCCTGTTGATGGTCTTGCGTCCATACCCATTTTACGCCCTTGCGGAGTTGGTCGTTGAGCGGCTTAACGATGCGTGCGAAGTCCGGTACAAATCGTCGGTACCACGATGCCACCCCTAGGTACTGCCTTAGCTCTAGGACGGTTGCAGGTGGTTCTAGCTGGGCTATGGCAGCGACCTTGTCTGGGTCTGTACCAATTCCTTGGCTTGTGACTCGATGTCCCAGGTAAAGCAGCTCCTGTTTGACGATCTGACACTTCTCGGGGTTTATTCTCAGGTTTGCCTCCTTCAGACGGCGAAACACTTCTCTGAGATTGTCCTTGTGTTCTCGCTGAGTGCGTCCGATAACGATTATGTCGTCCTGATACGTGAACGCGTTTGGAGACATCTCGGGTCCAATCACTTGGTCCAAGGCCCTTTGAAATGTTGCTGATGCCGAGTGTAATCCAATCACTCTCCATTGGAAGAGACCCTTTCCTGGCACCGTGAACGCCGTGAACTTTTCACTTGCTTCCTCTAGCGGAATCTGCCAGTATCCATCCTTTAAGTCCAGGCTGCTCATATAGCGTGCTTCTCGTAGTTGGTCCAGGATGTAGTTGATACGTGGCATTGGGTACGCGTCCTTCACCGATTTCCCGATTATATGTCGGAAGTCGACGCACAATCTGCACTTGCCGGTTTTTTTCTTCACCATTACTATGGGCGAGCTATACGGGCTCTTCGAGTGTTCTATGAAACCCATTTCCAGAAGTTCGTCCACCTTTGTATTGATCTCACCTTGAACTTTGGGGTTCTTAGGGCAGTATCTTTGTTTTATAGGTTTGTCGTTCTTCATGGTAATCTGGTGCTCGGCCACATTCGAAGTTCCGCTCATTGTTCGGAATTCTGTCAGCTCTGCTTCTGGGAATTGCTCGATGTTTCCTTCCTCGCGGTCTTCATGAACAACTGCTACCGACAATTTTTCCTTCAGCCATCCGTTGTGTCTGTTCCTGGCCGGTATACGGATTTCGTGACCTGTGCAATTTATCTCAGCCCCAACCTGTGTGAGAAAATTCCAGCATAGCACCAGTGCGTCTACTACTCCTGGTAATATCAGTAGGCTCATGGTCAGTCGTTTGTTGCCGAATGCGATCTCTACCTCGAGCTGCGCGCTTATTCCGCTGCACCTTCCGTCTGCCAACCTAACTTGCCGTCTCGTCCGTGTAATCTTTCCCAGAGCAGCCAGATTGTCCGCCAGCTCTTCGCTAATAAAGCTCGCTGTTGCCCCGGTGTCGATTGTGGCTTTGTACGAGTTCCCACCAATCGTCACCGCTGCGGACAACTGCTGCTCCTCTTCGATTAGCCTGCCAGTTAGATTGGAGAGGTATCCGCGTGCGACCCCCGCTCGCCTCTCTGCGGCTGGGATCGCTGGCCATTTTCCGCTCTCTGGCAGCATTCCATGCATCTCACACTCACCTTTCCGCATATCCAGCAGAATAGCATACGCTGGTTTCGGCAACCTCTTGTCCAATGCTCGTGTCCGCCACATTTGCGACACGCCTCCTGTGGGTTGGTTATGCTTCCTGCTGTCGCGCTTTGTGGTCTCTGGGTAGTGTTTGCTGGTCTCCATAGAGTATTGGTCTGCTGCCTTTGATATTCTGTGTTCTGCGTGTTTCGCGATGTTTCGGCTGGCCCGCCTTGCCTGCTGGTATCCTCGCATCTTCCACATGTCACCTGAGACGGGACTGTCGTCTTTGTCCTGCTGAACTTATTTTTCTGGGAGAACATTTCCCGCTCTTTTTCGAGCTCTTCGTATTCTGTGGCAAGGATCATGAGGGCTTCCAGGTCGTCGATCTTGTACGTTCGGAGGGAAATTCGTAGGTCAGGTGTGCTGTTCTCCCTTATGACCTCGAGTACTTTCCCCGGACTGAACCCGAGTGGCCTTATCATGGTCTGCATGTCCACCATGTAATCCTTGAACGGCTCTCTGAATCCCTGCTTCCGAGCTTTGACTTGGTCCTCAAGTTTCGCCAAATATCCTCTGGGCAGGAAGAACGTTTGGAAACTCTCAATAAAGTCTCCCCATGTTTTCCAGTGCTGATTGTTCGAGATAAACCACTTTAATGCTCTGCCTTGTAGTAGTTCTGGCATTGCTCGAGGTACCATGTTGAAGTCCAACCCGTAGGTACTCGCGGACCATTCCATCTGTTCCAAGAATTCAAGAGGTTTCTCTGTGCCCTCGAATCTAAAAGACCATTCTCTGACCTGCTTCGCGACTTTAGCGTAGTCGGGCTCGCTAGGTCTTTGTGCCTTCGGGAATGTCTTTCTACCTTGGCTTGAATCTCTTCGCTGTAAGGCCTGTCCATGCGTCTTCTCCCTCGGGGTTTGTTAAATTTAGACCTGGTTTTATGTACCCAAGCTTCTTGTTCGGACCAGAGTTCTTTGAGTTCTGGATTGTTTTCCGTCTTGTTGTAGTATTCCACCAAGGCTTTCCGCATGTCTTCAGCTCTACCCGTCAGGTAAATGCTTACCCTTTGTGCCTCATTGGTGAAATCCTCTACTGTAGGGACGGACTGGTTGGTATTACAGCCGGCACAGTTAGTCTGATCGTTGATCGGTATTACGAGCCAATGCTTAGTCGGACTAATCGGTATTACAGCCAATCTTGATGTTCTGTAGACTTCGCCGTGTGTTGCCGTTCGAGGACTCAGCTACCTGTGTCTCAATTCGGTGACTTGCTCGGTCCCGAACGTCTCGACGTAGCGATCTTGTGCCCGGTTGGTTCTCACGGTGGTATATTCTTGACTTTGACTTTTACTAGACGATGTTCACTCGCAGTTTGATGCTCGATGACTGGTCCTGATTCCAGCGCTGGACCCGCTTATATAGGCCTCCGGGTCCCGTTAATCCTCGGCCTCTCCTTTTCTTCTCTCCACTCCAAGGTCCAAAGTCCACGGTTTTACCGTTCGACCTTTCGCCCTCTGCACACGGCACCCCACTGGAGCCCAAAGTGCAGCGCTGTACCGTTCCTTCCTTGCTCACGGCACGCCTGCGCTCTCTGGACTCTCGCTCTGACTAGTGCCGTCTCGCTCTGGCGCCTCTCTCCGCTCCGTCTCTCCCAATCTCTCCAAACTCTCTTTGGATTCGTACTCTGTACTTTCTCTCCCCTCTCTCTTCAACTGCTTTCTCCCAACTCTCTTTTCCTGCGTTGCCGTTACTACGCGAAGTAGTTGCGTAAGTAGCAACTGGCAGGGTTTCCATGCAGTTATTTTTGAGATATTTTGTGAGGCGTTATTTAACACACCCAAAATCATCGGCTCTCAAGAGTCGCCAATTAATATAAACATTCTCTTGAGTTATAAACAAATGAAAGAGCTCCAAATGTTCGGCTCCCACGAGTGCCCAATTAATGTAAACATCCTCTTGCGCTACAAACAAATGTCCCCAAACTATAAAAAGCGTTTATCCCCCAATTTTGTAAAATTGCAGACGCAGCTCAAACCTAGATCGCTCTCATGCTCATTGCTCTCATTTTGGACACTCTCAATTTATCAATCGAGTTCTTTCTCCCAATCGAAGGTTTGATAAGTGTCAGCGTAGTTTATAAGTTAGAATTTTAAGTTGAATATTGTAGGGAGCAGACCTATCTTTCCCAGTTCGCGTTTACACTATTTTGATAAATAAAAATTATATTTATTTTAAAGTGTTAAATCCCGAATTTGTTATTGGCGCAGCCGATGGGCTATAACTTTTTATACGGTTATATTCTTAAAGAACCCAAACATCGTTCGTCCCAGTGCAATTCTAAACCAGCTATCGCAGTGTCTCAGGTTGCGAGGTATTTTTTTTACAAAAAATAAATCTTGACCCGTGTGACTGTCAAGTAACTAAAAAAAATAAAAATTTGCAAAAACCCGTTTTATTGTAAAAGTTAGTGCCTTTGTTCGTAACACAAGGGATACTACAAAATAAAACACCTTAGTTCTCCCCCATCAGTGGTAAGAGACAAGGTATAACAATTTTAAATCAAATGCAAAATACAAAACTCTTTAATTTGTGAAAAATCTAAATCTAAACAAAAACCAAAAATGGCAGAGCCAGTGCTATTAATATCAGAAAATCATCTAAATCACGCCCTGAACCAAATCAGGTAAGTGCCGCAATTTGGAGGCAACACGCTCGAACTCAGCCCGTTTATCAGGAGGATAGACTTCATCCTGGAGTTGTACCCCACAACATGTATACGCCAGTCGAGCGTATTCTTCAGTGCGATTGAAATGCAGCTTCACGGAGATGCCCAGAGGATATCTCAACTATCAACAGCCAGATGCTGGAGGGATTTAAGAAACGCCCTCATCAACGAATATAAAACCCAGACGCCCTGCGAAGAACTACTAAGACGTCTGTATAACACCCCCTTTCCTGGGTGTATACATAAGTTTGTTGAGGACATTGAGTCCAAACTTTTATAATATAATATAAATTAGCTTTAGAAAATAACGCTGCAAATACAGTTTTATACACAAATGCTCTAATAATACAGTTAAAGATGTAATTATAAAAAAATTGACAGACAGACTTTTTATGTCATTGGCTAGGTATGATATTACTTATGCTAGTAAACTAAAATGTTTAGCGCAACAAGAAGGTGGTTAAAGAACATTTTATTCAGATCGAAAGCCTCAGCAGCTATGGCTGACATCCCTTCATGTAGCTTAATTTTTATAAGTAAGCCTACAGTGTACAAATAAATACATAAATAAATAAGAATAAATAAAACAAGTTGGGAGCGAGCGACAAAACAGAAGGTCTTTTTAATGAACAACAACTAAAGTGGATACAAAATAATATCTACCAAATGGCGATGGATATAATAAAATATACACTTTTGTTGGATGAAGTTTATTCCCAAAACAAAAGTGGATAAAGATAAATACCTTTTAATTTACTAAAGTTTCCCATTCATTAGACCAACAATTTTTTCGCCTATAATCAAGTATCGATGCCAATGAACAAATACATACACAATAGATAGTTATGACCGTCCCTCTAGACGGGGAGGTGGAGTCTTAATTGGAGTTGATTCAAACCTCTCGTCAGAGGAGTTATTTTCTAGGGAATTCAATACCATTGAATTTATTTGTGTAAAGATATCGCTTCCTGGTATTTCTATATACATAACTTGCTCTTATATTTATATTAGGATATATAAAAATTCCGGTTCTCAATCTGCTCGGTCAAGATTAACCGTGCTTATAATAATAATTCTTATCCTTCTTCGCTGACTTTTGAAAACATGACGGCAACCACAGATCAGGCAATAGCCGATTTATTTATCCAATTTTTTCAAGCGACTTACTCTACTTTAGATCATTCATCACAGCCTTATTCTTACACCAAATGTCAAAACGGATCAAACGTAGATCCACAAACACTAAATGGAGCTTACTAAATGTGTTATAAAGTAGTTTTTAAACAGACGTCATTTACACTGACTTCTTGTTCGGAAACTTGACCTGTTAGGTTTTCCAGTTGATCCTTATATGGATCTCAAGTTACCTGAATGGCAGGTCAGAAGGGTCCTTTTTAAAAATAAAATTTTTAACCTCCGGTGTCCACTCTGGGTTCGCTACTTCTTACATTATTTATTCGCTTACCTATGTACGCAGATGATGTTAAGATATGCCTGCAGTATAAGGATATTTCCTGCCATTTTGAGTTACAATACGATCTATATAACTTTTAAAACTGGTGCCTAGATAATTTACTAAATTTAAACGGTTCTAAGTGCAAGCTGCTGACTTTTTATCGGGTCAATCCGATATACGCGATTTACACGTTAAGTAGCAGCTCTTTGGATAGAATAACTCTTGTAAACGATCTTGGCGTTCTTTGTTTTTTTATTGTTCCTATGAGAGCTATATGATATAGTCACCCGATCCAACTCGTTCCGACTTATATACTACCTGCAATAGAAAGACAACTTTTGTGAAAGTTTCAGGCAGATAGCTTTAAAACTGAGGGTTTAGGTAGGGTAGAAACGGACAGAAGCAAGGACAGGCGGACATGTCTAGATTGACTCTCCTTGTGATGATGAACAAGAATATATATAGTGAAATTATTTAATTTGAGTCGAATAAATGATCCACCCTTTGGGCTAAGACCAACGCCGAACTTTGAATCAAAAACACAATTAAATGCGGTGCTGTGACTTTATTAATTGAAGATTGGCTTAAGACTAAATTCTTGCGACAAAAATCTTTATTGTGTTGCCCTTTGTTTACATAAATTTGGGAGCGAGATTGCCCGCTTAGGATATTGATTGCATTCAATAATTTTAGAGTGAGAGTGCCACTTAGGGTGCGGCACTTAGTCATTGCAATAATTGTTTATGTTATTGTAGAGCGGCTTCGCCAGCTCCGGATGTGGATTGTTCACATTGAATATTCTTATTTCTTGGTATGAATATGTGAATATGTCACTTCCCTCCCCTTAAAAGGGTTGCGTATGCTTAGGCAGGCATTTCAGGGTACAATGTAGGCAACTGGTTTTGTGCCGGTTATAATTCTTGTTGTGGTTCTTGATTATTTTTTGCTTGTTTTCTTAATTTTCTTAAAAAGAACAATAATTACAATTACTATAATTACAAAAAGTATGGTATTATTTTCTGAAATTAGTTTTAAAACGTCATTATGTTCTACTATCTTTATCTTAGTTACATTAAAGGGTGAATACAAGGGTGTTAAATCAAATTCTGGACGAATTTTAGCTTAAAATAACATTTCTACATTGTTTTATTATAATAATTTTGCTTCCATTTATGTTGAAGCTTACAAGTTATATCGTTCTACTTGCACATCTCTAAGCGATAGTATTTTCCTATTCCTCTTTCTTCTTGTTCCTCTTGCTTTATGATGCTTTGTATGTCTCTCTCAATAAACATACGTTTGTCGTGTGCGCACGTAAATTCGGCGTTCTTACTTATATTTGGTATCGGCTCGATTTCAGCATTAACATTGGTTATGGGCCCCGTCTCGCGAAACTAAGATGAGTGCGTATCAAATAGAAAAGTTAAGTGATCAGAATTATGATGTGTGGAGTGCTGTAAGGATGTTTCTACGGCTGGGATGGAGCTCAGTCTCCCCAGGATCCTTTACAATCGAATTTGTAAATAAGCGGGGACGAGGAGAAGCGGGCAACCTGGACGCAGTCGCCGATCAGTCGCGATGCGCGCGGCGGGCCTTATTGGCGGGTCAGAGCAGGCATTTGGGACTCGGACGACGCGAACGAGTGAAGGCCGTCACGTGTGCTTGCACCCAAAGTCCAGTTGCGCAGAGGAATCTTATCGAAAACGCAACCGGCTTGGCTTGGGACACAGTTTGGCACACGCGGGCCGGGTTTGGGTTACTTGGGGCTTGGGTTACTTGGGGCTTGGGTGCGTCGACCGGAATCGAGACGGAAAGCTAGCAAGCGGAAAGAAACCTGTACTTGCACGCCTTCACGTCTGTGCACGTGGCTGATACCAAGGTCCAGTTGCGCAGAGGAATCTTCTCAAAAACGCAACCAGCTTGGCTTAGGCCACTGTTTTAGCACACGCGGATCAGTGCTTTGAGGGTCAGGGAAGAAATAAATCCAACTCGGTGTATGTTCGCTGTTCTTATTGTCCGTGTTTTGTTTTATTTTTCTTGGTTATCTTTTTGGGTTTTTCTTCCTCTTTTCTATATGTATATTTTCCCTAGCCGCACTATTTTCTTTCCCTGTCTCTCCCTATCTTTCTCGCACTCTACTCACTAGGGTCCTTCGTCCTGATCCTTGATGTCCTGCGTGTCCTTGGTGTCCTTGCGTGGTTTTTCTCTGCTTCGATGTTTAGTCTTTGACTTGTGGCGAATGAAAGAGCGCGGGACTGGCAGCCGCCGGGCTTATATAAACAGCCGGGCTCTCGCTTCTCAACACTGGAAACGTGCGTAGATCGCCTAATCCGATCGTGTGTAGATCGCCTAACCCGCTGAGTAGAGCTGAGATCCTATTTAACACACAAAATAACGCCTGTTTGAACTACCGGCTAACGGCCGATTAACACACTAAATAACGCCTGTTTGAACTACTGGCTAACGGCCGAAGTTTTGAACTTAACGGCTCTTTTGGCTTCTTGCCTGCCTCCGTGGCCTATCCTAACTTAGTACTAGTTTTTCTTATTATCTACCAATATGTGTATGTATATGTATATCTTAAATTTACTCGCTGGATGTGAGGCAGCTTTTACGTAACTTGCCCAAGCGTCGTTGGCCTCCGCTAGCGAGCACTGGAGGGGCACGGGTGGGCCTCCAGTCGCGAAGCGGTCATCCTCTCCAACTGACGAGTCGTCTGTAGACGGTGCCGGGTGTGGTACCCAGGCACGACTCTCCTGGACGCATCTCTCCTCAAATCCCTCAGCGAATGCCGGCGTCGCCACGCTCTCCAGCCAAGCGGTCACTAGGTAGCAGGCCGTGCTGTACCCGACTGCCGGGGATCCCGCGACGCTTAACCGTGCCAGCCTCGCTGTTGTCAGCCCCCTGGTGTCGGGCTCGTCATCTCGAGCTGGCGGCTCCTCCTCCTGTCTTGGTTGTCCGTTCGATCCACTGCTCACCTTGCATTCGTACGACGGGTCGCGGAGGATGGTGGACTGGGAGTCGGTGTCACGGTCGCAGGAAAGAGGTGGAGGCGGCGGTGTCGTGGCCGGGTCGAACGGCGGCGACGCGATGCGCTCCGCGTGGTCCGATAGCACGGAGTCGGTGCTGATGGTGACGGCTGGTGGTGAGGGAGAGCGGGTGGAGTCGCTCCATGGGCGTTACTCGTACTCCTCGTTTTCGGACATGGTGACGGTGTGCTAGTAAATGTAACGTATTATCTTAGGTCTTATTGTGTGAATCCTACCTATAGTGCGGCTTGAGATACTTATGGTTCTAGATTACAAGTTCAGAGTTCTTAGCTTACTTGGCGGCTTAACCTAACTATGGCAGCGCGTGTGCCCCGCTTGACGCACGTGACCCTGCTTGATGTTGGTTTATTCGGAGTGTACTCGTCGATGGGTGGCTTTCTTGGGCTGGGTACGCTGCTCAGTGACTTGGGCATCCTGGTTGCTCTCCTGGCCGAGTATCTCCTGCTGGTCGCCCAGAGTTTGGGAGTCTTCTGGATCCACGTTTGGGGGTTCGGAGGCGAACGCTTCTGTGTATGGCTCTGCCTCGTTGTCCGCTGTATCTTCTTCGTCGTCGGCTTCTCCGGTCCTGTACTCTTTGAGATCCGGGAGACTGACAGTCCGCCGTTATCTAGAGCCCCGCAGTTGTAGGCACACTACATTCTGGCCCAGGAACTTCACCACTTTGTATGGTTCGGTGTACTTCGGAGCCAACTTGGCGTTGAATCCCTCGCTGGCCTTGGACAGGTGATGGGTACGGACCAGCACCCATGATCCCACCAACGGTCGCCAAGCGCGCCGCCGTAAATTGTAGTACCGCTGCTGTTCCTGGGATGCCCGCTCGTTGTTCTCTCGTGCGATGGCATTTGCCTCCTTAATCCATTAGCCCGGTCTTCGGGTGGCTGTGGCGTGGTACTTGAGCTCATCACCTTGTCGTACCAGGCCCCCGGCAGGCGTGGCTCGCGGCCCTGGACTAAATAGGCGGGGCTGAATCCCGTGCTGTCCGAGATGCTGGAATTCACTACGAGCGAGATCTCTGGCAGTAGCTGGTCCCAGGATCGCTGGTCGTCCGCGGTGTATTGGGCGATCATAGTTTTGATCGTCCGGTTCGCACGCTCGGTCGGGTTCTGTTGCGGCGAGTACGGAGCCGTGTACTGGATCTGGACGCCGGCCCGTTTGCAGAGTGCCTTAAACCCTCGACTCGTGAATTACTCGCCGTGCGTGGGGTTCCGAATCGGGAGAGGATGCGCTCTCGAAACGCCAGTTCCAGCTGGGCCGTCGTCGCCTTCCGCAGCGGTATGATCTCGACCCATTTCGAGAAGACGTCCAGGAAGACCAGCAGCATTGTATTCCCGCGACGAGACCGGGGTAGGGGTCCGATGAAGTCTGCGCTGACCATTGTTAAGGGTTCCTCTGGGCGACGGGTAAGCATCTTCCCCGCGGGCTTGAGCTGACTCGCCTTGAACCGCTGGCAGGTCTACCTTCCAGGTAGCACCGGAGTTTCCGAATGGCCCAGACGATGGTGAGGCATTCTTTCTTGGTGGCCGAGTAGTTTTCCTCGGATTTCACCAGTCGCCGGCTAGCGTACGCCACCACTCGTTCGCCTTCTTCGGCTTGCTGCGTCAGGACTGCTCCGAGCCCGTAGTCGCTGGCGTCGGTTTGCAGCTGGAACTTCCGGGTGAAATCCGGGCATGCCAACACCGGCGCTTCGGTGAGCTTGCTCTTCAGATCTTCGAACGCGAGTTGCTGTGGTTCCTCCCAGAGCCATCGTTTCCCCTTCCGTAGCAACGTGGTCATCGGCTGCACTATGGCGGCGATGTTGGGTACAAATCGCATATACCATGAAGCGACTCCCAGACATCGCCGCAGCTCCTTGCAATTGGTGGGGGGTTGTAGCCCCTTTGTGGCCGCGATCTTGTCCGGATCGGTCTGGATACCGGCCTCATATGCCCTAAGTATACTAGTCTTCGGCAGAAGAACTTGCACTTGGCCCGGTTCAGCCGTAGGTTGGCATTCCGAAGCCGCTTGAAGACCTCCTTGAGATTTTGCATATGTTCTTCCCGCGAAGCTCCTGTGACGATGATATCGTCTAGGTAGGCAAAAGCGTGAGGCTCTAGGTCTGGCCCGATGACGCTATCCAGGGTCCTTTCAAATGTCGCTGGAGCCGAATGTAATCCAAACGGCATTACTCGCCACTGGAACAATCCTCGTCCAGGCACGGTGAATGCGGTACAAGCGCGACTTTCCTGCGCCACTGGGATCTGCCAGAAGCCGTTTTTCAGGTCCAGCGTCGAGATATAGCGCGCGTTCCGCAGGCGCTCCAGGATGTGGTTGATGCGCGGAAGCGGGTACGCGTCCGGCCCGCTGTGTGCGTTTAACTGCCGGAAATCGACACATTCGCATTTCCCCAGTCTTCTTCCTCACCAGGACAATGGGAGCACTATGCGGGCTCCGTGATGGTTCGATCCTCCCATCCCGGAGCAGCTCATCGACTTGGTCGCGGATGATCTGCTGCATGGCCGGGTTCTTTGGAAAATACCTCTGCTTCAGTGGCTTTTCGTCCCGCATGACTATTTGGTGCTCCGCAATGTGGGCACCCCGGCCCTTGGAGACGGCAGCGGCGATGATGGCTGTCCCCGGCCGCTCCCAATTCGAGCGGGGATGCTGTCCGTTTCCCGACTGCCGACAACAGTTCACTGTCCGTACGCCTCTGCGTCCGCAATCCCAACAGAATAGGCGGGGCGGCCGAGTGCACTCTTTGGCGAAGTGGCCTACCTCTGCTCAGCGGCGGCAGGCACGCTGTATGTCCACCGGCCGGCTGTCCTCGTCGGAGATCATGTGATTCGTAGCCCCGATGGGCAGGGGGACGGCGTTGGGTTCTCTTGCAGTCGTAGTCCTAGGGTATGGTGGTGACCTTTGCGCTTGGTCCGACCCCATGGTGGCGAAGTGGGCGAGGGCGGCGTGCCGGATCGAGTCCCGATCCCGTGCGATCTCATATGCGGTGGCGAGCTGCGTCAGCGTTTCGAGGGTTGAGAACTCGTGGCGACGGATAAAGAGCTGATAATTTTTCATATATCCTTTCGAGCTCGTCTGCCAGAGTGTACTTCGCGCGCTGCATCATGAGTCTCAGGTCCACAAGGAAGTTCTTGAATGGCTCCTGCGGCTGTTGATACCGGGTGCCGATCGTGTCCTCCAACCTGTGAAAGTACTTCGGAGGCAGGAAGAACTCGGTCTTAAATAGGAGCCATGGCACAGAGAGCATGCGATAGGCTCGGTACCAGGCTTCCGCTCTTCCAGATAGTAATCCGGAGATGGCTCTGGGTACGTCGCTGATCCGGACGTTGTAGGCGGCTGCTCCTTCCTCGACTCGTTCCACGAAATGGACCGTAGCTTCTCGGTCAGTACCGCTGCGGATATGGCGTCGCGCGGTGCTCGGTTAGTGGAGGCCGTGGTTGCATTCTGGGCTTCCGCGCTGGTGGTCATGCGTCCTGGTGAGGATGACCGCCCGGGTACGATAAGCTTCATGGCCCCCGCTTCCGGCATTGGGGACGTGGACCGTGATTGCATTTCCTTCGCGGATGGTGCCTCGGGATAGAGGGCTTCTAGCTGTGCGAGTCGAGACAGCGTGATCTGGCTTTGCTCTGTCTTCCCAATAAAGTCGGCTAGTCGTGCTCGCAGATCGACTACCGCTCCCGCCGTTTCTAATCCGAACTCCTTGAGGAGTCCCTCCAGTTCCTCTTTCCGGCGATATGAGATCCGGTTGCTACGACTAATTCCTCCAGGTTGTCGACCGGCGTGGGTTTCCGGGTGGTCTTTGATGTCCAGTTCCTTTATCCTTGGCGTCGGTGTCCAAAGACCACTTTGGCGGCGACGTAGAGCGGCCTGGACGAAATTCGGTGCGGCTCAGTGGCGTATGTGGCCAACGACCACGTTTGCGGCGATGCTGGGCGGCTTGGCCGCAATCCGCTGGGGATCAGAGGCGTCGATGGCCGACGACCACGTTGGCCGCCCAGCAGGCTTGGCCGAAATCCGGTGGGGATCAGCGGCGTCGTTGGCCGGAACGAGGCCTGGTGGCGGCGCTGTGCTGCCGAGCCGAGGTCTGGTGAGGATCGGTGGCGTCGATGGCCAATGCTCACGTTGGCGGCGGCGTCAAGCAGCCGGATCGAGGCCTGGTGAAGCTGTACCGCGTCGGTGGTGGCCCACGACCACGTTGGCGGCGACGCTGAGCGGCCTGGACACCAATCCGGCGAGGATCGGCGGCGTCGATGGCCGGGACAAGGGCTGGCGAAGCTGAGCTGCGTGAGCGGTGGCTCTCGGCCACGTTAGCAGCGGCGTTAAGCGGCCGGAACGAGGCGTAGTGATGATGCACTGCAAATCCGGCGCGGATTCGCGGCGTCGATGGCCGGGACGAGGGCTGGCGACGGCGCTGTGCGGCCGAACCGAGGTTTGGCGAGGATCGGTGGTGTCGTTGGCGACGGCCACGTTTAAATGGAACGATAAAAGTTCCCCGTTGCAAATAGAGGTGAGAGAGCCCCAACCAAAACTATGGCGGCAGTCGTGTCCGTATCAAAAATTGTTTTCCTATTGTCGTGTGGGTTTACTTGGTTATGCGACCCTGGTTTTCCGGTGCTTGGCGCGTGTAACGACCCTGTCTGTTTTGCTGAGCTGGCGTGCGTCTGACGTGTGCGACGACCCTGTCTGTGGCAAAAAAATAGCTCGTATCTTTAGGCCATAGATTTGGTGGACCCTTGGGTTACTTGGGGCTTGGGTGCGTCGACCGGAATAGAGACGGAAAGCTATGCAAGCGGAAAGAAACCCGTACTTGCACGCCTTCACGTCTGTGCACGTGGCTGCCACCAAGGTCCAGTTGCGCAGAGCAATCTTCTCGAAAACGCAACCAGCTTGGCTTAGGCCACTGTTTTAGCACACGGGGATCAGGGCTTTGAGGGTCAGGGAAGAAATAAATCCAACTCGGTGTATGCTCGCTGTTCTTATTGTGCGTGTTTTGTTTTATTTTTCTTGGTTATCTTTTTGGGTTTTTCTTCCTCTTTTCTATATGTATATTTTCCCTAGTCGCACTATTTTCTTTCCCTGTCTCTCCCTATCTTTCTCGCACTCTACTCACTAGGGTCCTTCGTCCTGATCCTTGATGTCCTGCGTGTCCTTGGTGTCCTTGCGTG